AAATCAATAAACACTAACACTATAAAGTTAACCGTCAGTATCAAAGAAGAGTTAAAAAAAACTTAGAACAATTTAAAACGAAAAATGTATTAGTCATTTGTTTTGTAATGAACGAGATACGCAAATAGTATTAAGAATTTTCATATCATATTTTAATCCGTAATGGTTTACATAATGTCGCCTTTGGTTTTACTTGTTTATTTGAAAGCTCTGTTTGAAAAGAGGAACAATCCGGTTCGCCACTGCATCCCTGGGTCTCGAAGGTCGTGGAATGCGATCAATAAATAGCGAGATTTGACAGTGAAATAACGTAAGCCATATATGCTCTGAATCGACTACAATGACTTCTGAACTGACGGATGATCCATCTCGACGCCGAGGTCAAAAGATCTAAGATGTTTTATATTGTGAACTAGCTGGTATGCCCGCGACTTTGACCGCGTAATATAGTATATTTTATACGACGTCGGTCGCGTCCTTTCCCGTCGTTCTTGCAAGTCTAAAAAGTTATCGGGTCGCGGATTTTTTTAAATATTATTTAAAGAGGAATCATTCTCTCATACTTACATACTTGGGTATCTTGAACCGTTTTTCAGCGTACGCCTCGGAAACATATAATATTGTATCTTTACTCCTAGTAGTTACAGGACGATGTTTTATAGCCTTTCTCGATATATGTTCTAACCAACACAAAAAGAATTTTCAATTCTAACCCGTGGTTCCTGAGATTAGCGCATTCAAACAAACAAACAAACTTTTGAGCTTTATATGTTAGTACAGATCAATAAGGTTGAAATGTACTGATAGAATTTTAGCTTAAGTATTGACTTTAGTTTATGCGAGTAATACACAATTATATAAAACATTTTACCGGTTTAAAACGCGAAAATTATTAAGTAAATTTTTAATTACTAGCTGCAAATATTTGCGATGTTTCTTTTTATTAAATTGTAAATAGGTCACACATCGCGTTTTAAACCGTCAAAAAAGTTTTTTTTTATATATTTTATTATACTGTGGACGGCCTGCTACCATGGAGCAGTCCCTAAATTTATATGACGATTAAATAAAATTAATTTTGTCAGTTAGAGCAGATTAGCTTAAGTAATATAAACATAAAAGATGAAAAATCATAAGAACTACAACCGAATGCTTTGTATAATTATATTTTTAAAACGATGCTTCAAAATAAGCGCCACTGGTAAAACAGACATTCATTGTAATATATCAGCTAAGTATTTTTGTTTTTGTAAACAGAAACGAGTGGCGCGTCTATTCTGAGACATTGATGTAGAAAACAGCAATCTCGATGCGAATATAGAGCGTTAAATTCTCTCTTGCGCTTGCGCATGGTAAATAAATAGTGCTTGTCTCAGTGGCCCTAAATATATCTAGAGCGAGATGAGTCGACAGATGAAGGGCTATAATCTGCAGAATTGATACTTGTGTTTTTATCTTAGGAGTTGGCAAATTTGGTGCAGTTAACCAAAAAAGATCAGACCTTGTCTACAATGATATTTTTTTTTATCTAATTCGATTGTTTTGTATTTTGGGTAATAGAGAAGTGTTAGAATAAACTGTATTTAATACTTATTCTTTATATTTGTTCTGTTAGTATTTATTATTCTTATAATTAATTGCATGATTTCTTCTATCTTGTTGGCTTTAACTCTTTAATTGTACCTGTAAACTACCATGGGCGATAAGGCCGCATTTGCACTAACTTTTTGTTTTTCTAACTGTTTGTACTTTGCGCGAGTAGTATACATTTAAATAAAACACTTTAACGGTTTAAAACGCGATGATGCAACCCGTGACCACGGCAGCGCAAAGCATCCGAAACATAGGGCCGTAGTTAAAAATCATTTTCAAAAAGTTTAGCTAAAATATATCGCGCCTCAAACTAAACCATCTGATTCAGGGCTTCTAAACATAAATTTTAACGATATGAGATATCACTAATCAGTGTTGGTAGTAAATTTTTTTCTTGACAATATAAAATTAATGAGCTGACCACAAACGCTTGTATACTCAACCAATGGTACATTTTAATGTTGCTCGTAAAATGGACTATAACATAACACGTGTACTGCCTTGTCAGCGTCGAGATTTATAAATTACGTAGGTATTATATTTATACGTAGGAAGAATTTAACGAAGAAGAAGAAAAGTATTGTCTGTAAAAATTCAAAATCGATTTCAGATTTAAAAAAAGGGCAGTAGCCCATGTCGTAATTTTTCTTGAACCGGCAGTCACAGGGTTTCGTTGAGCCAATTGAGCTACCGTGTCTGTGTCGTACCGTAGTCGTGGATGTAGATTCAAGTCCTGCTTGTGTCGTGAATTTGTTTATATCTAAAATCGTAGTGTCTTACACTAAAGGAGTAAACATTAAAAACACTTTTAACGGTTTAAAACACGAAATAATTCGCTTAATGATAATGTATTTTATCTACAGCCCGACGTAACATTTCCAATGGGGCCGCTACAAGTATTTACTTAAATGTGTCCAACTTATGTAAACACACAATACATATAGACCAGTATCTTCTGTCCCATATAATCTGAATTCGTAACACCCAAAAAATACTTCAAGATTGAGCCAAAGCGAATGCAACATAACTGCTTTAAAAAAGTGTTGATTGTATGTAAGAACTAAATTTTTATTAAAAATATAATAATCTATACTAATATTATAAATGCGAAAGTAACTCTGTCTGTCCGGCTTTAACTCTGAAAAAAACTACTGAATTCAATGAAACTCAATGAAATTTGGTACACAGATATTTTAGAGCCTGAGAAAGGACATAGGCATTTAAATGCCGAAAAAGGGTTGATAGGGGATGAAAGTTTGTATGAAATTCGTCGTTTTTGAAGCTAGAACAATAAAACTTTCTTCTTTGGCTTTTTGGGAATAAGAGTGGGAGCGGTAGTGGGAGTAGGAGTGAGAGTGATAATGGGAGTGAGTGTAGGAATGAGAGTGGGAGTGATGTGAGGTGAGAGTGTTGCGGCAAAGTAGCACTTAGAACAAAGATTAGCTGCCTAAAATGCTACTTTACATACATTAATAGACAGCCTACATATTTAAAAATTTACCCCAAATCACTATTCCGAGCGGACGCAGTCGCGGGCACAGCTACTATAATATAAGTATCTACTAATGCTAACCGACATTTTTATAGGGACACCTAACTTCTTATAACTTATATTTTTCATTATTTATGTACTCTGATGCAGCGTAGATACCATGTACCGTGTACTTATAGTCTCGTTCTATTTAAACTTCTCACATACGTAATCAATAACGAGCAAAAAAAGTAATTACACACGCTAAAACACATACTCGTAGGTCCAATAAGCGATATGCTTTTATCATATGGCAGGCCCATCCGGCCATCAAACGTCGTCGGCAGCTTGTCGACATCTGTTGTCCTAAATTAAAACGCTCTAAGTGTGTGTGGAGCGACTAAATTTCGTAAATAGAGGACCGTCCTAAGACCAATTCTAATACCAAGTAATTTGGTACTTTAAAAGTACAACCTACAGCTTCGTATGGTAAAAGAGATTTAATTCATTTGATAAAAGTTATCCCCTTGATTGATAATGTAGCTAGGTCAACATAAACACTTACGGTTTAAAACGTGAATGGTATTATTTTAACTACGGCCCGACCGGTGCAAAGGATTCAAAACGAGATATGTATTTTTAAATAAGTTAACTAATACATTCTATTTAAATGTAATATTTATAAAAATAAAAAAATACTACTCGCGTAAACTACAGACAGTAGTTAAGTTATTTAAGATTTGTAAAATTTAAAAACTCACTAAACTATAGCGTGGTAGAATATATAACTGAAACTGACAGTAAATGCTTTCAAGAAATTTAACTTCAATTAGTACCAAATTCAATTGTCTTATTTATTAAAACATTGTCTTCTTTTGTTTTAAAAATGTTGTCAAGTAGTTAAGGTTTATATGAAAAGTTAAACCTATACTCAACTCTTCGAATTATTCTGAACTATAAATTGGTATTATTAGGATTCCTTTAATCTACTCGGGATACAGACGAGTTGTGCATTACATAATATTGTGTATCAATTAAAGAGTTCTGTATCAATAAACATTCCATGCAGGAGGAAGGAAGAGTGAGACATGAGCACATCCCGGATAACGCGTGTAAGGAAATGGGCCCGACGTTTCCTCCCGGTGATGCATACTCAACGCTATTTATAACATAACTTATGAGCCCCGCTTTCGTCCATTGAACACTTTTATTTGCTGACGTTCTCAGTTCTTCGATAATCTAATGAAATGTCGTTTTATCCAATCGAATGCATGTGCTGTTCTGTCAGTTAGTATCGACAATAAATTCGCTTATCTCGGTATAAGATGAACATGAAACCCCGTTTTGCCGCCCAATCTATCAACATACCAGTTTTTCAGTACTCGAAATGTCACGGTGAATAATTTGTTGATACATTAATTATGGCTACGGCATATGCACGGTACTAACAGGAATTAAATTAATTACCCGACTCGAAGATCCATAAGAGAATTTTTAGTGTTCCAAGATTGTACGCGATAAGTAGAGTAATTTATACGCAACACGTCGCCGAATAGAATATTCATAAGTCGAATCGTGTGAGTGGGTAATTTCATAGAAAAAAACAAGCATTGTAGTAAACATTCGTATTTATAATATAATGTTGTCGTTTTATTTACAAATAAATACAAATTCAGTTAATAAATAAATGGTAAATTATCTACATCTTAATAAGTATGTTTTATATCTCATTTCTTAATCTTCTCCGGATTCGTGTGGAATCCAAAATACTAATGTTAGCGTTTTCTTATGACACGTTTCGGTCTCAATAAAATTTGAGACTCGGCGTTCGGGCGACACGTTCACGTACATTCACACTATACGACTATATTTACAAGTATTCGAGACGATCACTCCGCGGCGGGGGCTGCGTCCGTCGCCCCACGCCGGCCCTGGCTCACTTCACACGCACTTCACTGAGTCCGGCCCCGCGCGGCCCGAGCCTTCGCTCGCCAATAAATATTTGTACAACGCGGGCGCCGCGGCGGGGGGCTCGCGGCGGGACTAGATAATACTGGAGAGCGGTGGCCGCTCGGGGCAGCGGCAGCCGGAGCGGCGACAGCGCGCGTACGCGGCCGCGCCCGCCGCCGCGCACGCCCGCAGCGGCCAGTACAGCCACAGGCACGGCAGTGGCAGGGACAGCGCGGCCACGCAAGCCAGCCGCGGCCCGCCCGCGCATGGCTCCGCCGCCTCGTCCTCGCCGCTCCCGCAGTGGTAGAAGAGCGCCTTCGCGCAGCACATGCACGACGCGTAGTCCACGCAAGCCTCCGCGCTGCACAAGCACGAGCCGCAGAGCCACCTTGAGGGCAGCGGCCGGGGCCTCGCGCACTGGTCGCAGCGACAGCGTCCGCAGTTCTCGCAGACTATGGAGTCGGCGGCGAGGGCTGCCGCCCGGCGTTTGTCGGCGGCGGCGGAGGCCGGCTGCGCCGTCACCGGCTTGAGCGGCTGTGCCGCGGCGTGCGAGGCGTGAGCGCGGCCGTGCGGGGACGCCCGCCGTGGCGCCTCCACGTACGCGTTGCGCTCGCGCTCCGCTTGGGGCCGCGGCCGCAGCAGCGACACGGGTTGTCGCGCAGAGCTGCTCGTGGCCCCGCCCGCGCCCGCGCCCGCTCCGGAACGGTGCACTCGCGCCGCCGGCTTGGGCGGCCGGGGCGGCGCCGCCGGCCCGCCATACTCGTCCATCGAGTCCGGCTAACGGCTCTCTGGGCCGTCGCCTTCCTGTTCCCTCATCGTCCCCACCTGCAGACAAACAAACGTCTGATAAAGCAAAGGTATATATACAAAAAAATATATAACGCTGCAAATCAATCATCGAAAACCGTGGCGTCTGCTTTCCGTTGTACCCAAAGGCCCAAAACATAAATCGACCTAGAATACTTGTAAGTTATAATTATTTACTGACGCATTAAAAGATGAGTGACCTTGAACTTTACGTAATTTCTATCGTATATCTCGCAAAATCAAATCATAAGCGAAACGTTGCGAAAAAATATTTTCCTTAGTTTTTATTTTCTGTATTTGATTCATAAAGAATAACAACCACGCGACCTTTACTTTTGTTTATGCATTCTAAGTTTTATAATTTACTGCCACTGATAGGAACAAAGAGTATATAGTTTCATTTAATGTGATCCTTTTGCTATATATATAAGTATATACCGAATTACTTGAACGATACGCACATTCAGTTAATTCAAAGACATGTCAACTAATATTATCTATACTCTTGTGTAAATAAGTTTATGTTGCCTACTAATTTATTATCAATATATTAGTTACGACTCAAAAAATATATGACATCCAAAAAGAAATTTGTCAAAGCTCCGTTAGTTCCAAGTAATCAAAATGTAGTGTCATAATATAATACTTGTTAGCTAAAGTCTGAATTCAACCTACATCATTCAACAACATGGGAAAATTTATGGATATGTGTTACAAACACTTCCGGTAATTTCAAATTCCCTTTTAATTTGCTCTCAGATTAATTAAAGCGTTCTTTTCTGAGAGGTTATTGCGAAACATCAATACATGTATATTAATATTCTATTTGAATATCTTCTATTCGTAGAAGTAGGTATTGTATACTTTAAAAGTATATTGAAATATTCTAGTACGACTTTATAGTTTAAAATTAGTCATTTAAATTTGAATACAAATTTTTAGTATACATTTAGATATATCTATCATTAAAAAAACTTTTAACGGTTTAAAACACGAAATATATTAGTTAACTGTTTTGCATTATTAACTTATTATAACATTAAACTACGGCCCGAATTTACAAGATACTTTTCATCCATCATACCGCAATACAAAAATTTGATTATATTTGGATGGTTAATTCATATCAGGCAAAAAATATCAACTTATTAGGTACTTGATCACCTAAAAGTTATCAAAAATAAATTTACTATATTCTCACATTGATAAAAACTTAAGGAAAATTAATGTTATGCCATTTTGTAAATACTAATGTACGTGTTAAGTTGGATAATGTCGAGTAGAGATTAATTTTGTGGCAGGAAAATTAATACCATTGAATTGATTAACATAATTTTAAACTAGCTGATATAATATATTTGAACTCGATCGATAATTTAAATAATATTATACTTCAACGCGTGATCAAGCTTTACTTACTATATTGAGAAATAAATAATTATATTAAGTGATGTGTTTTACTCTTATTTAAGGTTGATTTCTTGTGCTAATGCAACAATTTTTTTAGCTTTTTAATTTATATTATTTTCGTATCAACTATTACGTACAACAGTTACTAAATTATTACGTAGAGTATTTTGCTCAGTGGGTAATACACAGCGGGACTTTGTATAACTTTCTGTCTCTGAGTATCATTGTAATATTTATAAGATAGTCAAAAAGTATAAGTATAAGTATAATTGTTATTATATATTTACTTGAACAGATAATTATATGTAAGAATGAAATGCACCTAACATAAATCTACTATTAATTTATAAAACTTAACGAACCTAGTCGTCAAAAAACAAAAAAAAATATCCTCTTAAATTATTAGGGCATCCAATATCCTGCTAAAAGAACACGGGACGGAATTTAATGAACGTAGATTATAAAACTTTTAATCCACGGATTATAAAATGTTTTAGAATGTCTTAATAAGTAGTTCATTCCCAAATAATGTACATAAACTGCATACGTATAGATGACACATAGAGAATATCAAGAATCTTTATTTCTACCGCGTCGTATGTTTAATTTGCACTTGCCAATTTTAAAGAAAAATTTTAAGTATAAGATTATTTCGTTTATAGAGAAGAACTATCTGAATGACGATTTAAAACATTGACTAAGAATGTGAGCAGAACATGTTATTTGAGATGTTAATTTTATTATCTTTCTATCACCTTTATGAATGCCTAAATATGCGAATATTTCAAAATGTCAACGTTTTGTAATGAATAGCATATTTCTTTCGACATTTGATTTCATTATCATATTAAAAAAGGAATTTAAAAGTAAGTAAGTATCTAGGAAGGATAAAACTTTGTATCTTTTTCTTTCTTGTTTATTTTTTTAATTTCATACTTACTGAAGTATGAGAAACAGGCACTAGCTTAAGAGATCGTAAGTGAAACGCGAAATCTTACATTTTTACAAAAGTGAGATCAAATATGTATTGAATCCAATTCTAAAATCACTATGGAAATCAGAATATAAATATTTTGAGTTCAGAATCATTTCAAATTATTTAACATTTAGAAATTAGCGTTACAAATTTAAATTTAGAACTTCTAACTTGCAAAAAAGGTTTAATATTACATTACTACACATCGCTCTATTATTTATTATTTTTGTACTGCAGGCAACTATTGCTATTACACAATAACCGGTTTTCTTAGTACTCAAATGATAAGGTTATCTCTATACAGTATTACATATTATAAGATATTCCGTGAATCGTGATAGACAAGGTTATAAATAGCATATTTTATAACTACGAATTTATAGTCAATATTCGAGAAATAATTGATACTGCCATATATTAAACGTTTTTATGACCGTTACGTTGAAAGCAATATAATTATTACCACGTCATGTGAATCTCCCACCTTCGTCTAATCAAATAATGAATGAATGATTAAATTAATTAAAAGCGTAGTATACGACGCGAGCAATTAATAATTACTACTTAAAATGTGACTTAACATATTATCATGTGCTTTCTTTCAATAATATTGGTATGGTATCGAACGAATACGTAATGTTTTATATGGGGCGGAGGCATGTGCCTTGAAGGACCCCATAAGAAAATGTATATTCTATAGATAGAAATACATACGCTACCAGATCAATAACTTTTATCACTAAATTGAAGAATAATTTCCCATTCAAGATTCATTTTATAGTACATAGAAGAATCATTAACAAGTTTTGAGTATCTTTACTAAATAGAAGGTAATTTATATAATTACAAACGGGAAATAGTTAACATACAGTTTGATTATTTTGATAACCAAATGAAACAAGTCCGTTACAGTGTAGATTTAGATAAGAGTGAGTTATGCGATTAAGATTTTAATAAAAAGTGATAATAATTACGACATGCAAAGATGTTAAAGATTCTAACATTGATTCTAATTATCCAGTATCTCCATTTGTATCGAACAAGAATTCGATGAATTTTTATCGTGAGAATGTAAAATACAGTTTACATGTAATATCTATGGTGTATTTCAGATAATCTTTATAGATTTCACTATCTAATATCTATCTACAAGTGTAAATGCTAGTAGCCCTCTTACATATAAAAAGGTTATCCTGATCACAAACTGACAAATGGATCAACCGACAGCATAAATTGCTAGTAGAGAAATGATGTGTACTTTTTTTGACGAAGGCTTTAAATAAGGTTTTGCTGGCGAATATGGGGATAGTTGGTCTAAACTACTTGATACGTAAAATATATTTTAGTAGAAGATTTCAATGTCGTTTTTTTGTTTAAGTAACCCAGCCTAACGACGTGAAAAAATTGTAGAAAGTAACTCGGTAGAACAGCCTCTAGTTCGTATTTTATTTTCTATACGCTTTAAGTCCGTTGATAATATTATGTCGTGCATATTGTTTACAAGTTATTATTCTTTATCACTCTTATCTTAACTCGTAGAAATTGGTACCGTTGTTGCTATAATAAAACAGACTACCAAAATCTTTATGTATATTAATAATTACTTCTTTATGGATGTGCATTCGGTGGAATCTAATGGTTTAACTATCGTAGATATACAGCTATCATGTGCTGATGTATAGGACTCTTGACTAGTCAGGCACGTGTAGCAATGCCGTCTTATAACACGCTGGGCGCAATCGACTCCTCATTGATATAAGACAGCACTTTGCCTGATATTTCTGGTCATCTATTCAACCTAATGAGACCCGCGCCTCAGACCGACCTAACTATATCAGCAAACGGACACATCCTGGACACGACACGGTGGGCGAAATGGCATCCGGGACCCGTCTGGGTACTTACAAAGCAGACGTTCCACGTCACATGTCTCCTACACACAGACACAAGTGCACTCGGGCCGATCGACCCCACAAAATACACTAGCTCGGGCGTCGGAGCCGCCCCTGGGCCGCGCCGGGAACCTCACTGATTCACAGAAATACGAGAGAAGCACCGAATCCACGGGAAGGCTCCCGAGAGCGGCGCGGCACCTGGCGCGGGCGGGGGGCGGCCCACGCAGCGGCCTCGATTCTCGTCCGCCCGCCGCGCGGTTATCACTGCAATATGGCCGCTACTCACTTCCTCGGTGAAGTTCTTCGTTGATTCCTACTCCCGCTCTCGACGACGGCGATCCTCTTAACCGTTCCGAACTCGTGCGGATTCACTGCACTTATTCTTATACACATTTTAATGGGAAACCGGGAGCGTTAGCGCTACGCTCCGACGAAACGAGCGTTCCGTTCGCAGACACATTCCGCACTGGCGTCGGGCGCGGGCGCGGGCCGGCGAGCGGCGCTCCCCGCTGCCGCGCGTCCCTCCGCGCGCGCCTCGCCTTTTTATGAATGGAAGGCGGCCATACTGAATGAACCGCGTACACGAAGCGGTCGGCCGCTATTTTCGCAGGCGAGCGGGGCGGGCGCGGGGGGCGGGAGCCGGAAACGGGCTGCGAGCGTTCGCGGTGCCAAATTTTGCGGCGCGGGCGACGCGGACGGTAGCGGATGCGCTCGTTTATCGAGCTTCCGGCGAGATCCCCCCGCGCAACCGCATCCGGGAATTAGGTTTCCGGCCGACGAGAGCAACAAACACCCCGCCCACTTTCCTTTTAACGATTATTACTCACTATGATAACGCGCCTATCTGCTGAAACGGGTTCAATTATTCGTTCAAGTTCACATTGTATATTTTTGTCGTATTAGCTCATAAGTCACCGTCGACGAAGGTCGTTCATACCTCACGTATAATCGTCGTATTCGTAATTCTAAACTTAATCGCCGCGATAGCACACAGATAAAGAGTAGTACAATAGCGTTTAGAGTACCTACATGCCGGCGTGAAGTTTCAACTTTCATAGTAGGATCGTAGCTTGAAGTTTTGTTGACTCTACATTATTCAATCTTCTAATATCACTCAACAGGCAGTTTACAAAGAACTGAGTTTATACTATATCTTTTTATCTTTTTCAAATCAGTCGATTTAGACTTTGAGATAATAATATAAGTAACTGTGAAGCTATTTTAATGTAATAATGCTTGCAAATACGTATTATACCGATGCCTCGGTAGCATAAACTAGAGTGTTCTATTTCACAAAATGTATATTAGACATAACCGATTAAAAACAATGTTATTATGAAGTAAGCACTTGGGCTCCGAAAAAACAATAACTTGATTAAGTTTACCACAATATGATCTATTGTTAATGGAGTGGTAAAAAACATTAACAAAACAAGAATAATTATAATGAATGAATGGACCTTGCAAGATGTTCGAGTTCGACAAAAACTTCTACCTGCTTCTATTGTTTCGCTGCGAGTCACATCACTTTTAAAATTAAAATTCCATGTTATTTATAAATATTGCTGAATGAAGCCACATAGATGATGTTTGAATACAAATTATATAAGGAAATTGAAATCTCTTGCGCATGTAGATAAAAAATAGGTGTTAGGTTACGACGAGTTTTTGTTTTAACGTCTTCACATTCCACATTCAAATATCGAACATCGATTACATCGCAGATCTTTTTAAAATTTAATGCGTTTTATGTTTTATCTGTTTAGCTCATGTTAAGGTCATAGACAATAATGGGCAGTATATCTATGTATTTTCTACCCTTGCAGAGGCTTAATTTGTTGTGGATGCCTTCCGGCAGGCGTGGTCACGGGGGATTAAATGTGGAAGGTGACTAAATAAGTTAATAATTATATTTCGCGTTACAAACCGTTAAAAGTATTTTATTTGAATATATCACTTACCACTACAAATAGTTTTAGTTTAAATTTATTGTAGTTCAAGCTGAACGCTTTACTTAAACTTTGAGGAAGATTTCGACGCTAACTTTTTTGAAACGGAACTAAAGGCTCAACATGTGTGCGAAGAAACTTTTAAAGTTTTTGCTTGTTGCAATTAGTAACGGCTTTACTTCCGTTCGTAGACAAAAAATCGTTGGGGAATTTAAAATTCTACGAGGGTGCCTCCATATGACGAGAAATGAGGAACTATTTCATTTTTAAGCTTTGTAGCTTATATGAGGCAGAGTGGCCTAATAACAAAAAACATGATTTTCATAAAGGAGGATAATAAAATAACTCACTTCAGTAAACATAAGTGAAAAAAGGGCACAGAAGTTTGATCAACTACTTGCCTGTTAAAAGAACGGATCATTGAAACGGACACAGAAACGTGTTCGCCCCATGCCCCACGAGGGGGAAACGGGCTTTCACTTTTTTTTTAATTTAATTTGTTTAATATCTGAACAATGAGTATTCCAATCAAAGTTTACGTGAAACACGAAGCCGATCAGTGTAGATCATAATGGGTGGCCTAAAGATACAAATTAAGGGTATGGACACACTTCCATATAAAAATGTACCAAAAATTGGGAACAAAATAGTGTTTATATTTTTCTTTATTAGACATAGGTTTTAAAGCATTTTTTTCTTTAACGGGAAAATGTTTAACGGATCTTGATAAACTTAGATATTTCAAATAGTGACAGATGCTAGTTTGAACTCTGACGGAGTTGCTCTTCAAGCTGCCAAAAGACTTACCACGCTTCTCTACGTGGAAAAAAGCACTGATGTTGGCGGGGATTATACCGACATGCAGACCATCTTTGTAAGAGCTTCTTTTAATCAATAGACGAAGACTATCATAAATATTTATTATATATATATATATATATCTATGTAGTTTCAAATGAAACAAATGTGTTACCATCGCTTATGTAGACAGGGGTTAACGCGAAAATGACACCGTTAGCACATATGGAGGCGATTCAAAGAAAATTAACAACGTCCTCACAATAAGCTTTTATTCGAAAAGCAGTTTCGACGAACATCACTAATGACTTAGGGGTATTTCACACTGTAGGTTTTCTCGTACTTAAAAATCACACATTATTTATAAAAACTGACGATTGTGCGCGAAATATCAGTTAACTTGCTTACAATTTATTTTATTTGGCAATGATTTATTTGAAAATGATTTTTAACTTCGTTTCGGATGCTTTGCAGTAGCCGTGGTTACGGGGAGACTCCTCGGCCGAAATTAAAAATCATTTTCAAATAAGTTTAACTAATATATCGCGTTTTAAACCGTTAAAGTGTTTTATTTAAACGATAGGCATTCTGTTTAGATGTTATATAGTTGCAGTATTTCACCTTCCAATTAAACCTCATATTCGTTCGTCTACTTCACCTCTATTATAAAAAAATATATAACAAAGCCCAGAATAAATAGTTTTTACTAAAAACCAAAAAACATCTCGTTTTCCCGTAAACTTTCTCCCCTTTTATCTTGGGTTGCCTGGAAGAGATCGCTCGTTAGCGATAAGGCCGCCCATTGCACTCCATATTTTAGTATATACGTCTCGTTTATTTTTTTGTGAATACGAACAATATATAAATAAAATGTAATGTACCTATGACTAAATGGTGGGGTAAAATAGTAATGCATGACATATTCAAATGCAATGTATCAACGGATCGAAAACATTTCACGGAGTAAACACCTCAGCTTAAGTTAAGATGGCTTTAACATTCGAAGATATTTCGGATCCTATGATGAGTGGGTGAAATGTGGGATCCTCAAAGTGTCTATCCGTTCAAATATGGAACAGCACCTACTCGTGAGGTGCGTTGAGATCTCGTAATCGTAGCCCACACGATAGAAATCAGGCTTCGCTTGATATTCTGGAGGCGGTCGCGGCGCGTCGCTTGCCGGAAGCCCACGATCGCTTTCCATCCGCTTTGCCTCCTTCGACTAGCATCACTGTAATCTAACTCAAACTACGAACGTGAAAGTTTGTCAGTTTGTTGCACTATCACGGCTAAAGGACTTGACTTCTTCCGGTAATAAAATATTAGAATATTGTATTAGAATTCATTTAATTGTATAAAATTGTATATATATTCTTTTACAATTGGTACGTAAATAAAAGTCAATTAATATCCTCTCCAAATTCATGTATCACAAACAATCGTATGAAAAGGATGTAAAAGCACACGTTTAAAACGCGAAATATTTCGTAGTAATTATAAAATAAATTGTAAATAATTACCTAATACAGATCGCGTTATAAAACGTTAAAAGTGTTTTGATTAATTTTAAAACCTAATTTAGATTGAAAAAAAAATGGTGATACGGGCGAGATTCGAACTACGTAACACAGCGTTCTGTACTATTGTTGTTGAGCTATCGTGTTATTTTATAGATTTTTAATTTATGAAACTAATAGAAAAAATCTATATTAGAATTAACCTAAAGTAAAGGATCTTATTGACTTCTTATTCATTAATAAATACTTACCATCAAAATATACTCATACAAAATATGTACACGAGTCGATATTATGTAACAATATTGTCTCGTTACTTATAGAGATAAGTGGTGTATTTTGAACGTAAATTATCTTTCGCGAGTTTAACCGCGATAAGTGGCCAACAAGAGACTTATTTGTCTAAAACTATCAAAATATAATAATAATAACGTGTCCAAATGATTTGATTACAGAGTCGATTTATTATGCTCTAGCACCGGATGTTAATGATAAAGGGAGATAATAAGCGCCATTCATAACGACTTTACGTTCTAAATTTAATATTTCGAATCATTTAAATAATCTGTGGATTTTTAAACCAGTTTGACAAAAGATGTGACTATACGATGTATAGTCTGTTCAGCGTTGCCAGAACTTATAGCAAATTGTGAAAAAGGCGGGAATTCAGTTGACATGATACCTTAAACTACCTTTGCGTGATTATCTCGCGACGTTAATTTTATCACATTAACTAGAATTAAAAACGTAATGATGTATAAAAACTAGATATGTGGGATTAACATATTAAGACAGATTGCTTTTAATCGATTGTAGCAAATGGGCCTTCTAAGAATCAAAATTCGAGTATGATTAGCGGTTCGACCATTTTCGCGAACGGCAAGTTTTTTTGTACCAGTCGAACATCTGTGATCCGACAAATTAGCATAGACTGTCTTTAAGCAGGAAACATCAAGAAAAATAGAATAATATTATTAACGGATGCGGAGATATTAAATAAAATTAATATAATTTATGTGGAACATAACGATACAACGTCCTATCGTCTATCTATTCCTAGAGTACCGCTGGAATTGTAAATTCATGAAAAACAGAGTAACAATAAAAATCTGGTCTCATAAAATTTTATACGATAGCTTTAGCATAAGCCAATAAATAACTCAAGATAATTATGCAAAAGTTAGAACTTATAAAGTGTTTCATAGATATAGGATGGAATTCATTATAAATCGTTCGTTCGTTAACAAAGCAAGTTACGTATTGTTGAATGGAAGTCCATTCACTGTATATGACCTTAGTCGAATCGCGGATGGCTTGCTCATTGATTAAGCGAGTTAGCAGGTAAATCGTGCTGAAACTGACGGTTCGTGGGTTTGATAGAGAATATAGTGGTATTAAGCCAAATAAATTGCAATATTTTTGACAGCCTTTTCCTATAATCACTCCTTTCCCACTCCCATTTCCTTAGACACGGGCCCTCTCGAGTTTTCTAATATAATAGGATACAGTTCCCATAAATTATAAATAACCAGGGATGGAAATCGAGGTTCGGTCTCATGATTGAACGTTCATTGAAAACACCGAGACAATTTGTAATAAAAAGAATTGACAAAAAACTCTCGTAGTGTCTATTACATTAATATAGTTTCATAAAAAAGGTTTTAACTATTGTCTGTATTTCAATGACATTCAAGTGAATCTGCGCTTGCCTGCCAAATTCCGCAACCATATAACATGTAAAGAAGATGCACCTTCACACAATATTTCATTTTTCCAACATTGTACGGTGGCTCTTGACTCCGATGGAACGTCGATATTCCTGTCTATAGTTTACGCGAGTAGTACACAATACAATAAAACACTTCAACAGTTTAAAACGCGATATATTAGTTAAACGTATTTGAATATGATTCTTAACTTCGTTCCCCGTGACCACACCTGCTGCAAAGTTAAACATCATTTTCAAATTAGTTCAACTAATAAGTATAGTATAATATAGTAACGTTTTAAACCGTTAAAATATTTTATTTAATTGTCGATATTCCTTCCAACCATTTAACATGTAGTTTCCGAGTCGAAATCCATCATGTTACTAAAAAGATATAAATTGACTAAAAATTTTGAACCCCATAGGGATCGAACCCAAGTTGATTATACACCATTACACCAACGCGCCCCACAAAGACATAAAACAGCACATACATTGGATCGCGTGCTACACAGAGCTGTATAAAATTCTTCTCATTTTAATTGAAGGCAATTACATAGATTCCACGTAGCGGTCGTAGTGCGGTCGGGTCGGGGGGTAGCGGTGGTGGGGGAAGTGGGAGCGGTACAACCAGCGGCTGTGACCTTACGTGAGGCCGTCCGGCTCATCGTTACGGCTGTATTGCTTCGGTCACTTGGACTAGCGCTGACCGGCGTTATAAATACTCGCTCCAGTACTATAGTCGACGAAATTGCATTGATCTTAATATAATAATGATAGTATAGACAAGCTTAACGTAAACTTGGAATGGCGAAATCGACCCTATGTTATTTACTGCGGATGTCGACCTATTTTACAAAAAAAAACATTATACATCTTTGTTAAGCGTTGTATTTTATAATTCACTATTAGGTGGTGCAATTGTTTTTTCTCATTGCTATGATCATTACATTTATTTCCCCATGTAAAAAGTTGTAAGCGATTACTAAATTTGCCAGCTTTTTACAGAATTACATGTCGTGTTCAAAGTTCTTTAGAATTATTGACACTGCTCTTTCTAATTTCGATATACTACAACAAGTAGATAATAATTATTATTTTATTAAAAATCAATATTAAACTATTTACAGTAAAACTCAGTAATCTAAAATAAAACTGGTCACGAGAAAGATTTTAAATGTACCACATTTAGCCATCCATAATTTTAATTAGCAACATCCAAGTAGGTACTTACAAATTACGAACGTTATTAAACTTTATTTCCACACTTAAACGTTATTAAGTTATAAAAACTTCGTAAATAACTATTAAGTTGGTAATTAACGTGTTGTCTACATAAATCATAGAATTGAAACTTAGTTTATGATTTATAAAAGCGACCACTCTTCTTGGCAACAAATAATGTCAATGATCTCTACGCTATAATGTTGCGTAACTTCTGTATTGAATTAGTTTTGATTACACACTAATATCCTGTCTCAATTAAAAAACGGTAGTTGTTAAACTATATATGGATAAGGAAAAGTTTTTAGGACGTTTGATTGGAAACTATTTATTTAAAATTTTAACTTCCTGTTAGTAAAAAACACGAAGGAAAATAGTTATACATCGTAAAAAAACTTTCTATTAGTTAATTTGTAATTAATAAGTTTATGGTTAGTGTCATGTTGTATTTTTTAAAAAAGTAAACACTATTTATTATACCAGTTATAAAAAAAATGTTTATATTGTTATTTGCAATGTAGTGTAATAGTTTTTACTTACGTTTGAATGTCTAAAGCCAAAATAAGCCAAAATTGGCCAAAATATGCAAGTGAGCTACTCTGTCACAATAAAAAGTACAATAAATACGACGCTCTTAATTTTTATGTATTTTTTAAAAGTGTCAAATTTGTTATAAGTGTGTCAAATTTAAACAAATGTTAGAATAGGTATTATTTGATTGTAAAAATGATGTGGTTAGTTCTTAGTTTATAGGCTTTCCCATTCGAAAAGGATTCTGGCAAAACAATGAGAATAACAGATACACATCTGCCATAGACTATTTACAAAATATTCAGTAAATCGAATCCGTCACTCGCTCCGTTTGATTCTCTAACATCCGTGATGGTCTATTATATAGAAACGCAGATGCATTTAATGCCAATGTGCACGGCGCAGACGATATCCGTCATTAACTTTTTATTTACGATCTCTAATCACTCTAATGACTCAGCTTGCAAAGTCGTGTTCCCAACATTCTCCGTCGAAGACAGAATTCCGTGTTGATGACGTGCACAGCCAGGATGTACACAATGGTCAAAAATCAAGCAGTCCCGGTGTCCAATTCTGCTATTTACACTGGCGAGTGTAAACCGCAATTCATTATGGCTACACTGACGATTAGTAATAATTATAATAATACAATAACTAATCATACACGTCTCACATGTCACATGATAACGGACCTTTCGTAGAAAAGTTTAATTTTAATTTTCACTTACATCTCACTGTCCAGCCGCTTACCTCTCACCTTCCGTGAATTACCAGAATCAGGGCCGCGCGGAGCTGTAACAGTGCGTAGTGGGGCAATGACATCTTTCGACGAATGCGACATCTTTTAATATTCTACTCTATGACACGAGCATAGATTATACAATCGTGTTGCCAGCGTACGGCGCGTATTCAAATATTTTTTATGCGTCAATACGTGGCTTGTTTTTTCATAGGTGTTATAGGTACATTTGCGCGTAACTTGAATGTTTTTTTCTGGTTACATGCATAGTTATGTAATAAAAAAAAAAAAAAAGATGAAATTTTCAAAACGTTTTTAATCTGTGCGATCACTGTTATTACGTTAGATCTACGCCCTTTGTAATTGACGTGTATACTTCATTTTAAAATGTTGATGTGTTTTGTAATTCTTCATGTTGTCTGGAACGGTGACTAAAATCTTAAATAGTTTTACTATTTAGCATATTTAAATGTCGACCTTATGTCTACTGAGTCGTGGAGGCTCGAGTCTGTAAATACATTATTCAATGGACGGAAAACATAAAAAAATGTTGTAAAATAAACGTAAAGGGCCTTTGATTAATACTGCTAAAAGGCTTAATAAGATTTGTTCCCACAGTTAGGGAAGTATATTCGTGGTTAAATTTAAAAAACGTCTATGTAACTTTTAAACTTTTACTTTTGTATTTCAAACACGACTAACTTCGACAAAAGGAGTTGTATAGTATTTTAACAACATAGTTAAGAAGTAGCAGTCGTTTACGCGAATAGTACGCTTTTAAATAGAACACTTTTACCGGTTTGAAACGCGAAATATATTATTTAACGTTGCCCCTTGACGTAAAGAATCCAAAACGTGGGGCCGTAGTTAAATTAACTCAAAAATAAGTAGGTAAGGATCTACAGCCTTTCGTGCCTCTGCTGTAACCAATTGAACTGCCGTACACGTCATCCATCGTAGAATTTCGTTTAGCTATTGATACATACACCTCTCGCGCAGTGCAATTTTTACCTTATTCTTCACATGTGAAAAATATTGACGTTTCATTCGCAACTATATGCAATATTTTAACATACTTGTCCCTTATAAGATTCCTACTTATCTCTAAGTTTGTAAGCCGTAACCTTTGGCTAGTGCTTATTAGCAAGGATTTGTCCTAACACAAGTATGTGGTGGGCAGATTGTCGCCGCGAATGGCGGCTGCACGGCTAGGTGCGGCGCCCGTGGGCGAACTAGCGGCGCCCACGCGACGCCTGCGACACCACAAATTCCTGACTCCTCAGCCTACACCTGTGATCGTTACCACATTACACGCGAGCGTTTCAACATTAATGGAAAAATTTGTACTCGTAGACTCTAATCAGCGTCACAGCGTCGATAATTACATACATATCAAATTTTATGAAGTAGGTTGGATGCAACATATTCTGAGTACGAATAAATGAGGAATACTTTTAACGGATTCAATCACGCAATATATCTGTAAGACACGTCGAATCTCTAAAGCTTAACAGAAATCGTGTCTCAGAAGTATTTTTAATTAGGCATGCAAAATTCAAATTAAAAATTAATAAGTAGAATAAATAATTTGTATTAAAACTAATGATACATAGATTAAGCAAGTTCGAGTCAATAACATTTTATTAATTGGTCTTAAATAATTTTTTCACCTTTGTAAAATAATTTTACGAATTTAAATCAATCGGAAAATAATCCCCTCCTTAGAAACTTGGGCGTTTTCGAATTTAACAGCTGTAATTATTGAGTCTGTGGTCAATTTTTGTCGTCCTACGTTCGTCACGTCTGTGGTAATGGTAACCTTGAAATCGTGTGTCAACAAACGTCGCGAACCAACACCAAAATCGTCCCTCCCCACGCAACTTTCAAAACTCAACCGGACCGATGTATCCGAAATGTAGGTGATACTGATTTCTATTAAATTTCACCGAATCGATCATCTAGGGCCCACCTCCGTTTATTGGGAATCGGAGAGCCTCGTGTCAAGCGCGAGGAGTACTATTTTTTAATCTCGGAAGCATAATTAATACGGTCAGTGATAACTAATTGCTTTTAAATAATGATATAAAACAAACGGGTATAAAAATGTGTCTGTATCGTGTATTTTTCTATGATAAGCATGGAGTTCACTTGATGTTCGGTGATTTACCACAGACATATAACAAAATGTGTTGGCGACCTATTTTGTCTTTGGATATTCGAGGTGCATGTCCCAGTTTTAAATATTAAAGCTATCTGCTGCATCGTTTTCAGTACTTTCGGGACTTTTATTTGTGTCTTATCCTTTGATGATATGTCTTCTGATCATCTGGACAACAGATCGACTTCTATAGAGGAGGCTTTTCTTTCGTCGTGGTGCCGTCACGTGTGTCAGAGTATTTCGTATCGCTCTCATCACCGCCGCGTCAACGAACGCCCAAGAAGACCCACAGGATACGGGCAACGAAACCGTCCATTTGAAATAAAAATATTCGTCATGAATGAATAAACAATTCCACGTTCATAGCGTTAATCAATGAGTTGCATGCAGGCAACAGTCCGACTCGGTGTCGAGCTCATTGATCGATCGACTCGATACGCACCACTACACGCGCGCGGCCCATACGCACAGCACACGCGCAGAGGAAACCGGATGGCGCACACATGCGCGCGCGCAGCCGTGTGCGCTCGTCAGCGAAGGATTTCCTACCGCCCCGCGCGCTGCCCCCTCGTCAGACCTGTTGCAGCGCTACCGGAGTTACGCCGCATAGTTACCAGACTTGATATGCCGCTCCCCGCCCCGCGCGCCGCCCCCGCCGTGGCCCACGCACACCGCTACGCCTCTACTTCCAACACTTCAATATTATCATCATGGCGCTCGAAATTGCCGATGTTGTCTGCTCTCATCGAAATATTTTATTAACCCGATATATTCTATTGCCGGTCGCGGTGGAAAACGAGTGAACCGTTCGATTTATAGTCCCTGCTAGATGCAACCGGATGCGTGACATCATCCGATGCTAATTCTGATACTCTGTTGTTCCAAACTTAGACTCCGAACTACTTTATACCAGTACCAGAAATACATCTATACTAATATATAAAGCTAAAGAGTTTGTTTGAACACGCTGATGTCAGAAACTACCGGTGGGAATTGAATAATTATTTTTATGTTGGTTAGAGCATTTATCGAGAAAGGCTATAATCGCTCTTCGACTTATAGCGTCGAATAGCGAATAGGATAGAAGAAACAGCGGGAAATGTTGAGAAAACGGGGAAAATTATCTATGTGGGCTTCCCTCGCGTACGCTGCGAAAACGGTTCAAGATACCCAAAGAATATTTATGAAAGAATGATTCCTTTGAATTATTAAAAAAAAATCAACGGCACTGTCTTTTAAGAGTACGGCGTCATAGTTAACAGCTTACATCTATAAAGATGAAGAGAAGTCGCTGATACAGCTAGTCGTGATATAAAAGGAGATCTGTTTACGAAATATTACGAAAATTATATATCTATATTACGAAAATAATAATTTGAACAAGTCGTATTATAAACTAACACTATTAGACACTAACTTTAAACTTTAATTATACAATTGTATTCTTTGCTGTGTATTGTTTATCAATTCTATAGTTATAAAATAATCTAAAGCTAATTTAGTTATATTAATAGTTATCAATGACCGGAAGAATTAAATGAACTTGTTGGCTAAATACAATATTTATTTTGTTTGTCGATATAAGATAAAGGTTGTCTCTTTTGGAAGACAATTCAATAAATATAGTGGTTCAATTCTCAAGTTTAGGTCTGTTTATAAGACTACCTATTTTTTATAACCAAGGAAACGGAAGACAGACAAACGTGTCACTTGATAGAAGGTAAAACTGTCTGTACTGTAAAATTTCGGTGGAAATCAAACTTAGTTAACGGTTATTAGTCATTGTGCTAATGTGTATGTAATTGTGGTTTCTAGGTGCGTATTAAATAAATATTTGAGAGGTTCACTGCCGTTACGCACCGATTACATCTATACTAATGTTAGAAAGCCAAACAGTTTACGCGCTAATCTCGAGGACTGCTGATTCAAATTGAAAAATTGTTTTTGTGTCGGTTAAAAGTTTTTTTCTTGGACTGCTACCTCCGTAGCAGAGAAGAAGGAAAGCATGTAAATTATTTTCATCGTTTTTTCCATCTTTAAGGGTTTCCGTTACGTCCGTTGCGAACGGTTCAAGATACCCAAAAAAATGTATAATGATTTCTCTTAAAATGATCTAAAAAAAAAGTCTTTTAACCATAACTTGCAAAAACGTCGGGACGCGGATGACGTAACAGTGATAATTTATAAAGGTGAGGAGTTTTGCAAAAACCAATTGTGATACCTAAAATAGCTATTCTATGCGGACGAAGTCCCTGGCACAGCTAGATGAATTTAACTCACGATTTAATAGTGTCGTCAACACAATTTAAAGTACATAAAATCAGTGATTTCGCTGGCAAGTACGACATTAGCACGCAATCGCTTCGGGCCCTAAGCTCGGTAAAAAAACAGGTAGCGCTCGTTCCGCCATATCGATCTTAGTGTTATTTTTTATTTATCTTTTTTTATCTGAGACTCGGAGCGAGTCGGACCCGAACGGAAGTTGTAACGATTTTTAATCGCGCCAAGTATCAAACCGGCCGGTTGGCTCGACTAACCACAGTGTATGTGACGTACAATACAACAGTGATACAGTTAACAAGAGTGGTTTAATAAAAAATGATTTTAGATTGAAACAAATGTACGACACGGCAGGACATGAAGCGGCATCCACAGCATTCCGTGCCAGCACTAACCAATTGCATTGGCTCAAGTCCTCCCGTCTCGTAAATTCTTTACAATCTAAGATTGATTTTTAATTCATATAGTGACATTATGTGCAATAACATGTGAAAAATATTATATTTTCAAACAGTAGTTCAGTAATTTAGAAAATTTTGATTGAAGTGTCGGTGTAATCTACACAATTTAATAGACAATGCAATTGTACTAATTATACATAAATAATTATTAAGAATATATTAATTATACATACAAGAAATCATTACTCATAATTTTGGCTTCAAACTTTTATATACTAGTATCATATAATCAATTTATCAATCAAATAAAAAGTGACAATATTTCAGTTCTTCGAATTCGAAATTGACTAACTGCCGCATTCTATATCCTGCATAATGGACACCCCGATTCTCAACAGTTAAAGTATAGAACGAATTCATTTTTTACAACCACCGGAAACCGGGGTGATGTCGGGATGTGGAACACATATCTTCCATTACATCCCCAGCTTTAAGTCGAATTAATGAAAGCAAAACATTTCAAAGATGCATTTTTTATGACAGAGGAGAACAGGAAAGCAAGACATTCACTTAATGGATACAGCCATAAAACATTAGAGCAAAATGTGTTGTCGACCTATGTACTTTGGATGTTATGAAATACGCTGTATAAACCAAAAAGCAATAAGCGGCCTTTCATCTGTGGACACTGGTTTGTGACTGAATATCGATGTTCCACACATTTAATATCCAGATTTCCAGACGAAGTCCAACATGTTTCAGATTAGACATGTGGTGGACATGGCGAGGATCGTACCCATGACCCATTGACCAGTAGCCATACATTGCTAGCATTAGACCAACGAGCCCGTCAGATCACGATTAGATATATTTTTAGTTATTACAAATGTCACACGTATTTGTTTCACAATAATTTGACTCGTTGGGGTATACTGTCTATAGTATCGCGAGTAGTACACATTTAAATAAATCACTTTAACGGTTTAAAACACGATATATTAGTTAAACTTATTTGAAAATGATTTTTAACTTCGGGCCGACGTTTCGCATGCTTTGCAACAGCCGTGGTCACGGGGAGACATGTTGGGGTATTTCAACTTTTATAAGTAGCAAATTTGAGTTTATATAAAACTAGTGACAGAGGTCGGCGCCAATGTTATTTGTATTTTTTTTATTAATGCCCCCCCCGGGCCGCTGTATTTCTGTAACGTTTTTCTGCCAATGGCTGGGCGTGGGCGCGCTTAATGCCCCAAAATATCCACATTCGCGCCGCCCACCGGATCCATCGAGAATATTACTCTACATCTCAATGATTACTATATTATGTGCCTATGACACAAGTCATATTCGATACCTTTATTATATCGTAAAATCGTTTAGTTTATTGCGTGCAATATTGTATTGGCACTATAAATATGTGAAAGAAGTGACTAATGTGTAAATATGTAAGTGTTATAGGTGTGTTATATATTAATATTGTTATAATTTCATAGAGCCATTGTCTAATTTAACAAAAGTGACGGATTGTTACTCGATGTAAAACAATTGGTTTTGTTTACATTAAAGCACTTTAACAGGTTAAAACGCGATATATATTAGTTAACTCTCTCTTATCTATTTACTTATTTGAAAATTATTTTAAATACGGCCCGACATTTCGGATACCGTGCAAAGCATTCTTCATTGGATTTTTCGTCATCGGTGTTTTATTTAAATGCTTAAGTTACAGACAGATTTGTTGTAAAAAATGTGTCTAACTTCTGACCGGTCCATCCATAGTCGCCAACACCTCTTTGTACGAGACTGAGTGGAAAGCAAGAAAAATAATTACTTTTTTAGTGAAAGTCGTTATAAATTCACCTTCATTGCAAAGTCAAATGTTTACAAGCAAGTGTGTCTATCGAACTAATTTATCGTATCTTCGGATCTGAATCCGCAGTATCTCTCGTGGGTAAAGCAGGGTTTAACACTTTTGTGTTCCAGAGGCACATGTTAGTAAAGAAGTTCCCACGTAACACAGTTATGAAAACTGTTCAATAACAAATTGCAATAAACAAAACCACATGCATGAATTTATATTGTATTTTATATTGTTAACAAATAGGATGCAGTTTGAATACAACAATTCCACTCACATTAAACTTATGGAGACTTTTAGAATTTAATCTTCAGAGTAAAACAATTTGATGATGTTGATGATTTAAAAATCGAAAATAAATTGAAAAAATTTTCGACTCGGGCAGGAGCGAGGAGGTAGAGCAATAGCACGGAACGCTGACGATGCCGGTTCAAGTCCTGCCCGAGTCGAAATTTTTTTCAATTTATTTTCCATTTTTAAATTATATAGTGCCTTCATGTGCAATAACATGTGAAAAATATTAATGTTTTCAGATGTTGATGATTAAAAATTAATTACACGGTAAGAACTTTATACAGATTAATTAAAATACATGTAACTGCTGCTGTTAAGCATTCAGGATGTCTGGTGGTAGTTAAAAATAAACTCTGTAATATATTTCACGTTTTAGACCGTTTAAAAATTTAATACACATTTAGGCACTGTAAACAGTAATGTCTGTTTTTTTATGATAAAAGAGGACAGACAAGCGTGGATTTCGCTTGGTGGTGAAATACCCCAGCAATATAACATCTAAACCACATGCGTTGTCGACTTATTTTGGATATTTGGAAAACTGTAAATTGAAACCGAAACGCAAGTGCACAGTTGAAGACAGCCGAACTCAGCATCACGCCCGAGAAATCATGTTAAACGGAAACACAGTAATCACCGTTTGTATACTAGTTTTATAATCGTCTAGTCTCTCACAGTAGAATCGATCTAAAAAAATATTCGTTGAGATTAATTACAGACGCTACGTTGAATTTCCTAAAAGGTGTTGTGGGAATTCATTCTTACACTGTTCGAATAGTCAAAAAAATTAAGTATTAGTAATAGAACTTATATCATAATTTGTATAGTATCACCCCATAATCACGACTCTTGAAAAGCATTGAAACGTCGGGCCATAGCTAACTTAACGTAGACACGGTAGCTTCATTGGTTAGAGAAACAGCACGGAT